AACTAACCACACCAGAGCACCCGCCAACCACCCACTTACATAGACTACTATATTTTAAATCAGCAATGAAATAAACCACACCGAAGTCACTGCGCACCAGATACAAGTACAAGGTGGGCAGGCACAGGAGACAAACACAGAGCAAATTCCCTGACAAAATCCTGTGGAAATCTGTATTATATTTGTGAAAGTTTGTCACTTTGGTCGCCTAAAACTTCTGAACCCTTTAACTTTTGAATTTAAAAAAATTAACGGTGGTTCAGAATCATTTAAAGGATGCAGTTATACTAAGGAGTCTGAAGTCACTGTTGTTTAATTTTCAGTTTTTCATTAGTTTTGTTTAGATCTAATCTTGGGAAAGTCCTTCTTCTAAGAGTAAGACGCCATTGTAACAAGTGAGGCTTCCATTCACAAGCAGTGCGCACTGATTGCACAATGACTTGACAATCGATTCTTTTGAGTCCGTTTATTGAACATCTACCTATCTATCAAGTCTATTTGAGTGCAAGCAGTATCACTATAAAAAAATTAATTCTTCACCACTCAATCTTCTGTGGAACAAGAATTTTGAATGTTGCTCTAGTTTTCTGTTTTGAGATGTGAGTAAAGAGATGCACATCAGCAACACAAGACCTGTGAATTTGAATATTGGTAGGAGTTTTTACACCACTGGCAACACAAAATAGGTCACATGAGAGCTGAAGATTAGAGGTGATGCTACAGAGTGGTATACAGGGCAAAGAAGGAAGAGAGATTATAATGACAATGGATGTTTGATAAGAAAGAAGAACAAATCACACCAGAGTACACATCAACTACCCACACAGGGACTTAACAAGCCACAAATAATCCTCATGTACACAGTACACAGCTATTGACCATTTCATTTGACTAGATAATAGATTCCTTTACCTGGAAAAACTGACTCTGAGAACATTTTTGACATCCACAAACACCAAGAAAACAAAATGAATAATTACATGTTGTTCATAGAGAAATAATAAATTACAAGTATTCTCATCCATAACGATTATATAAGTAATTTAAAACCAAAAAAAAAGCAAAAAAACAAAACAAAAAGAAAAAGGGCAGTCTTCACAGTCACAATCAAGTGAAGGGGAAACTAGACACAAAATGGTTTCCTGACAGGAAAATTTCTGGGTCCAACACGCAGAACAAAAAAAGCGGGGTGTACTACTTTCTGCGGAAAACCACACACAACTTTCCCACCTGTGTTATGGCTGTTTTGATGAATAACACAAGCTAAGACAAAATATGGGACCTGAGAGTGCTATATATATATACAAAATAGCCCGAAGGAGATAACTAGTGCTGATGTGAGAAAACATTCAACAACTGGGGGGAAAAAGCGCATATTCCTACTACAAGACATTAAAAAAGCCATTGCTGCACTGTGTTTGTTTCACTTGTACCAATTTTACCTTTGGTTTATCACACACTGCTGTCTGCTTTTTTTACATCGTTTATTTAGTCAGAGACCTACTTTTTCTGAAGTTCACAGAAAGGTCCAATTATCCTTTCAATATTATACTATTTATACCCTATCCACATGGACAACTTGACCCTCAAGTCAAAATTATCCAACCAAAGCTTATTATTCATTCTGAGAGGAAACAAATGTTCAAACACTCACAAGAGAAACGTAACACAACATCAAAATGTTCTAGACACCACGAATCAACACCAAAGAACCCCCCCCCCCCTCAAAAACACAACAAACAAACCAAAACTGGAGCACCAAAAAGCACCAGGCAGACAGTCATACATTTACAAATCTTAATCAATAAAAACATCACACTGAGGACTGTTTTAGTTTGTTTTAGTAGTTAAGAGTTTTACAGCAATCGCAAAGCAAATAATTCCAACAAGTGCTGTAGATTAGAGGTGTCACTATAGAGTAGCAAATACCAGACAGAGCATCCACCAACCGACCACACTGAGGAGTGAAAACAAACAAGAAACAGTTGGCAGGGAATCCAACTCCTACTAATTACTATAACTGTCTACAAACACAGAGCAAAACAAAAACACCCCGGAACAGAGGGAGTACAACAAAAAACCAAAAAAAAAGAGTTGGCTGCAGACGGCAAGGCACAAACTGTATTTATTTTTCAACACCTCAAGGCTGTGAAATGGCAAAAATAATGAATGACAAATGTTCTTTCCAGCCTCATTCTGCCATCACTAGGTTCTGGTATGCTACAACTTTTAACACACGGCGCCAGGTGACAGACAGACAGATTCTGAGAGTATCTCTCACTTTTAAAAAGTCTTTCAGCTTCAAAATCAACCCTCAACAAAGATTTTATCAAACTGCTCTCCTCGAAACAGTACCTTTCATACCCAGACAAAGCTGACTTGATTTGCTGGGCACTCACTCCATTGCGCATATATATATAATCAGACCGCTTCATTGTGACATAAAAATGACCAAAAATATCATCAATATATGCGGATGAAAACATAAGGTTTGAGAGACAAACGAAAATGAAAAATGAAATACTCCAGAAGGGGTGTCATCTGGAACCGTAATGGGCATAACCAACGACCTGAGTAGGAACCTGACGTCTTTCAGAACGGAACACAAAATATCTGCTGCTTGACAGGGGGAATCATACCCCAACATTTAATACTAGCTGGACAAGATTTTAGTTTTTGTAAGAGCTTTACGGCAATTCCAACACAATAAGGTCTTACAAGTGATGCCAAAGATCAATAGGCGTTACAAGAGACAGAGTAACATACAAAGGAGGAGAGATAATGATGATAGATGTTTGAAAGGAAAGGAGGAGCAAACCACTCATGGGTAATAAAAGAAGAAAACAGGTTTTGTTAAAATAAAATTCAATGGCAACAAGGCTAGACGACGACCGACAAAGACCAGGATAGATGGAGTCAGGGAAACACAAACAACTCATAGCATCCCCCTGACCCAAGCTCTCCAGCTGGTGGCGGAGAGACGTCTCTTTCTTCCCGCGACACCCAAAAGGGTATAAGCGGCAGATAAAAATAAAAGTAAAGTTTGAACAAAGAGAACTAAAGCGACACAATAACCGTCATAAGTGCAGTGAAAGAGACAGACAGACATAAAACAACAGAGGGAAGAAAAATGTTGAGCCTATCAGCCGAGTCCTCCATCCACCCGCTATAAAAAAAAGACCTGTGCCAGTGTCATAGTTAAAGAACGACAGCCTTTTTATCTGAGACAGAGGGGAGCCGTGGACTAGAGGTTACAACGTTCGTCCCTCATTCAGTAGGTCCCAGGTTCTAAACCTGACAGCGATGGAACATTTTTCTCTATCCTCTACTCTCTAACCACGTTGTAACATCTGCTTCGTCTCCATTTCCTGCCCCCCCCTCTCTGGTCTCCTGACTCTTTCTGCAGCCTTTGTACTACTACTCCCTTAGCTCCTTCTTACTGCTGTCTTTCAGCCACGCCCCTGATCTTATGGTAGGTAAGATTTAACACCTAGCCTTCTTGGATACGGGCAAAAAAATATCAGAGGCTTCCCGTGCAAGTTGCACATGTTACAGATATCCATTGGTGGTCCTAAAATCGATAAGAACAGGCTTCAGCTGCAAAATTCAAAATCTCCTACCAAACTGAAAATGTGAAACGTGTCCCGTGCGCTCATATGACCTTATGCAGTTGCGAGTACCGTAAAACACTTACAAATAAACAAAAACAACCCCCCCCTCCCCCCCCCCCCCACAAAAGTCTAAGACAACACAAGTGGACGAATCTGCGATCAAACATGAATGACCAACGACTTCGACCAACAAAGCACCAAGCCATTAATGACTAGCAGCATGCTCTCTCAGAAAAGACAATTCTGTAAGAAAGAAAAAATTCACAGAGTGCTAGTGAGGCAAACATGTGTCTTGAGCACAACCATACAACAGAATCAAAACTTAGCCAGTTGATAAAAGAACCCAAAGTAACTTAAAAACCTCCCAATGTCGATAACATAATAGCCTGTGGTGTTGGGGGAAATTTATGTGATTTCACCATATTGTGTTGGGAATATTTCCGAATAAGCCTCAGGGCAGGCAAACCCAAGCAAGTAAAGGTCATAAACCTATACATGTTCAGAAAGACTGCTGGATCAGTGACAACAAATTCAGAAAGTAAAATGTAAATAAGGAATAGAGCCCCTTTGTGAAGGAGTTGAAGAAGTGTTTGGCGATATCAATAAATGGGATAGCCGGAACGAAAAAGTGGCATAAATTACAGCTGATTAAATTGGCCACAACACCACAGAACTAAACTTACGGCTGATTTAATCAGCCTTTGACACTGGGAGAGTTACAACTGACTCCTCGATCTCTCCAGTCTAAACAACATCAGCCCCACCATCACAGAAGCAGCGACAATATATCTTTCGGAATACAACGATCACTTTTTTAAAAGGCTAGTAGTACACATCATGTTAGTACACGTCACGTCGTTCAACGTAATCTGGTTACGACAACAGTGACAAGTTCTTCTTGAATACAGTAATCACTTTTTTTAGGGGTGGTAAACTTCATCATGTTCAAGTCGGTCAACGTAATATGGTTACGGTAGACATGCAGGCATGCATAGAATAAAAGTTGGGTTTTTCTAAATTATCACATATTATGGTAAAATGTTTCACATCTCTAATCTTCACAAGAGCCCGCCTGCATGACATCATAACATTATTTTGTATGTCATCCAGTGATTATTCATGCGCATGTATCTGTGAGTGCAAGTGTGTGTATGAGTGTGTGTGAGAGAGAGAGAGAGGGAGAGGGAGGGAGAGAGAGAGAGAGAGAGAGAGAGGGAGAGAGAGAGAGAGAGAGGGAGAGAGAGAGGGAGAGAGAGAGAGAGAGAGAGAGAGAGAGAGAGAGAAAAGAGAGAGAGAGAGAGAGAGAGAGAGAGAAAAGAGAGAAAAAGAGAGAGAGAGAAAAGAGAAAAAGAGAGAGAGAGAGAGAGAGAGAGAGAGAGAGAGGGGGGAGGGGGAGAGAGAAAGACCGTGTGTGTTTGTGTGTGTGTGAGTGTATGTTCACAAGTGTGTAGTGTATGCATTTACCGTGCTGCAACAAATTTCTCTTTGTGGAGATTAATTAATCGTTATCTTATATTATCACATTCCAAGCCTTTTCCCAATCATTCTATGATTATCATAATCAAATTATAGGCACAGGAACGGCTGAGCCATCCAGCACAATCTACACAGCTGTGCTACCAGTCTGTAAAAACCAAAAGGCCAAGACAAATCATGAACCGAGCCACTCAGGACATATTCTCCAGTCTTGTCCCTTTGTTATAAATTTGTTGCGAAACAAGTTCCTGTCTCCTTATTTGTTCAAAGTCATCAATGGGGGGGATACACAACCACAAAAGCCCATCCATTAACCGAGTCATAAGTATCCGATCGCCATCTTGATCCGGGAAGAGCTCTACGTGCTACTGGACGATGTCCACAAATCCACATCGACAAATCCGGAAACAATAAAAGTAAACCAAAGGCAAGACTTTTGGCAACAATTTCCACAACAGAACAGGCATTCCTCAGTCTGTATCTCCAGCAGGGACATCTGTTCAGATCTCTACAGTTTCATTCAACTGCCCTCAAACATCAAAGCCGTACGCAATATGTACTGTTTATAAAAACTGGCGAAATTTTTGAAAATTATTTCTTTCTTTTCATCTGTTTTTTCATCAAAGCTTTCTGCCGGAGTTCCTCCTGCTCCATCCTCATGTCCTCCAAATCCTCCATACGTCCCAGTTTGGCGCTACGTTTCTCCTCCTTCATCACAGTGCTGAAATCTGCCTCCATGTCCGACAAGTCCTCTTCTCTCTCGTTCTTGAATCTGGGAGAAAAATAAAAGTAATGAAGTCAAATTAAAATTTCAAAGAATAACATAAACCCACATTTTACCCGCCCGGGGTGGTGCCACCGACTGAAGTGTCTTTAGGCCATTCCAAAGGGGGGACATTTCTCGTTCTAGTGCACAGTGAATTGTTAATGGGCTGATCTAACAATGTCATGCTCATAACTGCCTGAACTACAACAGGGAACTGCTGCTTTTTCTTTCCTTATTCTTACTACCGTCATTTCCTCTACTTCTTTTGTATGTTTGTCACACTCTTGTGACCCGCTATTTCTGGGGTGCCTTGAGAGTCGAAGCAGACTTTGAGCTGCTGAAGCTAGAGAGGTGAGCAGAGTAAGTCTGATTCCCTGTAAGGACTACTCTGTCTACATCCACCCCTTGGTGCTCATATGACCTTATGCAGTTGCGAGTGCCGTAAAACCTCAACTAAAACAAAAACTCATATTTATATGATAATCAAAGCACATAACATTTGGAATATCCAGTGGAGTAAAGACATGGTCACTTTTTTTTTCATGAAGCCGTGTTGAATGCTATTATTGGAAGTCAGTCTGATGATGTACTGTTCATCACCCCGTCAGCAAAAAGAAGCAAAATGATAAGTTATAAATTCTTTATCAAATCACATGCCACACTATCAATAGACCCGAACAAAAACATATTCTATCACAGTACAGAACAAAACAGTTGCTCATTTCCTGAAACAAAAGTTCAAGAGAGAAATACATTGACCTAGCTGATAACAAGAAACTCTCTCAATACAGAAACCGTCATTAAAAATATTGATAACCTGTCAATATCTGAAAATGACCAATGCATACGCGGAGTAAAATATCTTTAAAACTTATTATAAGAAATTAAGATCAAGATGGCATCTGGCTCCTGCAATGGCCTATGAGACCAGTTCTTCTGGCAGAGAAGAATGCCACATTTAGAGCATTTGAAAGCTTCATTTCCATTTTGTGGATGTGCACAATTTGCAGGTTTCTCTTTTGGCCTCAGCATTACTCAAAAAAGAAAGATAGCTGACCAGGAAGAGGTAAAAAAACCACAAGGAAGGAAAAGAAAATAAAAAGAAAAGAAAATCTTATCAAAGCAAAAAACCTTTGTAATCTCTATATATTATACAGTGCTTTCCAGTAGCTGATGTCATTTTTCGAGGATTTTCGGGTCCAGGGCTGAACCCTGGCAGGGGATTGAAGGAGGACAGCGTCCCCTTTCTGTTTGAGAATTTTTGGTTTCAGGACATCCTAAGTATGCCATTTCTGGTTATTCAAGCCTAAATACTAAATTTAACAAGAAAATAAGTGAGAAAAAAAGACATACCTTGCATCATAGGCCTACATAATTTTCTGCTTGTTAATCCATATATTTCTAAATCCAAAGCCATGCTTTCTCCATTGTACCGATACTGTACATCCACAACTAGATCTATAAAACTTGACAGTTAATGTTCATCTTTTTTCTGCTTGTGTTGGTTTGCACCATAATCATCATAAGGTGTAGAATTCTTATAATAATAGTATAACAGCTTGATCTAAATAACTAGACAGTTTATATTCAACTTAAATCCACAACAATATGTAGATCTACAAATAAACAAGTCTGATGAAAAAATCAAGCTCTCTTCGGAGTTTTCTTTTCTTGGCTGGTCCAAGATCTATTGAACCACAATCGTCATTTCTTCCTCTTGTTTACAGAGCTGGTGCTGTGCTTCTTGAGCTTTAGAAAGTGAAAGTGAAAGACACTGTCTACACTTTCAAATAAAAGAGCACTTCCGGTATGAGTTGGCTATTGTTGACAATTAGTAATGACGGAAATTTTGTATTTCGCATTTAAAAAAATAATTTGGGTTTTTTTGGCACAAATTTTCAAGGAAATTTTTCCATTTGCGGAAATCCAAAAAATTGCGAAAGACTGAAAGCCCTGATTATATTTGTGAAACTTCACACTTTCCCAGCCTAAAACGTCCGAACAACTTAGCTTTCGAATTGGACAAAATTAACGGTGGTTCAGAATCATTTAAAAGGTGCACAGTTTCATAGAGGAGCCTGAAGGCACTTTGTAGTTTAATTTTCAGTTTTTCATTAGTTTCGTTAAGATCTCATCTTGGGAAAGTCCGTCTTCTAAGACGCCATAGTAAACAAATGAGGCTTCTGTTCACTAGCCATGCGCAGATTCCACACCTTTGAAATTATGGAGTGTACAACCACGAAAGCGGAATTGAGAATCAATTTATACATCTATCCATACATATTATATTTGTGAAAGTCTGTCATTTTCGCCGCCTAAAACTTCGGAACCACTTAACTTTCGAATTTGAAAAAATAAACAGTGATTCAGAATCATTTAAAGGGTGCACAGCTTTACTGAGGAGTCTGAAGTCACTGTAGTCTGATTATCAGTTTTCCATTAGTTTCGTTTAGATCTTATCTTGGGAAAGTCCGTCTTCTTAGACGCCATTGTGAACAAGTGAGGCTTCCGTTCACAATGAGTGCGCACTCATTCCACATTTGAAATTCTGGAATGTACAACCACGAAAGCGGAATAGAGAATCAATCTGAGCATCTATTATATATATGGCAACTTGGAAACCCATGTGTCACTTTTCTCTCAAGATTTATTGCTCCATTCCAGTAGAGTGTAAATATAGTAGACCAATGATATTCAGTTGATGTTAATGCACCAATCATTCCTTTCATTGAAAGGGTGCCCAGCTAGTGTCATTATATTTACTTTTACCACAAACAAGATTGGATGAACAGATGGGCTCTGGGAAAGACAGGCAGAGCAGTTTTCAAACATATGACCACAACAAAAAGGAATGACAATATCAACCGCCTTCAGAGAAAGAAACAGACCACGATCTTCCGCCTACGAACAGAACATATACAGCTCAACTTCCACCTAAACAGAATAAACCCGGAACTTCCCCCAATGTGTCCCTTGTGTGACTATGCATATGAGACTGTGGAGCATCACCTGTTCAACTGCACAGCCCTAAATGACATCAGAGCTACCCTTCTCCCTCCGAGTCCTAACATTGACAACACAGTCTATGGAACATTACAGCAACTGCAGCAAACCTGCACTTATCACTACAAGGCATTGGACAGAAGGGTGAGAGCCCAGCTGTTGCTGGATCGATAACAACAACAACAACATACCACAAACTAGTATTAAAATACATATATACTGACTTGACCTTTTTTTCGTTTACATATTTACATCATTCATATTTTGGTACATATTGTATTCCAGGGAAAACACCCCCTCTCCCCATTATCCTTGAATTAAAATATTTATACATATACCTGCTCTTTTCTCAACTCAATTGATTTCTATAGACCAAAGGTTCTTAAACATTTTCTGACGTAATCAATCCTGCCACAGCCTGTCTTGATAGTGCCGTAAAACACCTACTCAATCAATCAATAAATCAACAGCCTGTCTCCATATTTATTTATATGTAAAACATTTTCCTGTGTGTTTACATTAAAGACTAACAGCTAATTTCAAAATCCAAAAAGCTTTTTAGTTTAGTTTTAGTATGGGTTTTTACGACGCTCGTAACTGCATAAGTCCCATCCAAAATGTTGCACAGTTTGTTGTTATTACTAAAAACAAAAGCGCCAGATGATAGAATTGGGCAGGGAAAAAACAAAACAAAAAAGCGCCCCAAAACAGCCCGTCTCCGCACAAACTTTTGAGAGCTTTACCTGCTTCTGTCATAACCAAACATTTTCTGGATCTCCTTCGAAATTTCCGAGGCGTCCGCTTCACCGTCATCGATGAAGTCGTCCATGTCAGAGTCTTCCTCCTCTTCATCGAAGTCGTCATCCAGCCTCATCCTCTTTGGGTCTGTGAAAAAACACACAAATGATACCACAACTCTATTTATAGGACAAGATCAAGCAGGGTTGGGTTGATTTAAATCAGGTTGATTTAAATCAGTTGATTTTTAAAATTTAAATCAACTTGATTTTTAAAATAAAAATCAGTGATTTAAATCACTTTTTAAAAAATTTATTTTTATTCAGTTTTTACATATTTCAACATTCAGAATTCCCTTCCTTGGTTTCATAAAACAGATATAAGGTTAAGTAGACTAATATAATCATGTTAAAAAGTCTGCTTTCCCATCTTTCACTGTAAAATAATACAGTATTCAATTTACTTTTTTTTCCATAATTGAAATCAAAGCTGGGTTGATTTAAATCAGTTGATTTTTTTTATATTTCAATCAACTTGATTTTTAAAATAAAAATCTGTGATTTAAATCACTTTTTAACAAATGTATTCAGTTTTTACATATTTGAACATTCAGAATTCCTTTCCTTGGTTTTATTAAACAGATAAGGTTTAGTAGACTAATATAATATGCTTAAAAGTCTGCTCTCCCCCCTGTCACTGTAAAATAATACAGTATTCAATTTACTTTTTTTAAATAATTGAAATCAAGGTTGGGTTGATTTAAATCAGGTCGATTTAAATCAGTTGATTTAAAAAAAATTTAAATCAACTTGATTTTAAAAATAAAACTCAGTGATTTAAATCACTTTAAAAAAATTTATTCTGTTTTTACATCTTTAAATATTCAGAATTCCTTTCCTTGGTTTTATAAAACAGTATATAAGGTTTAGTAGACTAATAAAATCATGCTTAAAAGTCTGCTTTCCCCCCTGTCACTGTAAAATAATACAGCATTCAATTTACTTTTTTTTCATTATTGAAATTAACATTTTCTTTTTCTTTTTAGACAAACACAAGCGCATGCACACACACACACACTGTAATAAAATGCAATTTTATCTATGCATAATCACCCCCCCCCCCCCCCCCCCTTCCTTTTAGACTGACATTTTCTTCATTTTTTTCTGTAGCCATAATTCACTGATAATATATATAGTTAAAACAAAGACAATGCATTTTGCACTAAAAGAACATACTTTTAGCAACAAAAAATCCCAAACTGTGTCGACATTTTAAAAAAAATCAAAAAAATCTGAATTTAAATTTAAAAAATTGATTTTTTTGATTTTTATGAAAAAAATCAAAAAAATCACCAACCCTGAGATCAAGAACAAAATAGGATAAGTTTAGTTTAGTTTTAGTAGAGGTTTTGAGGCGCTTGCAACTGCATAAGGTCATATCCCAGGCAGTATTGCATACAGTCTACGTATGTATGTCATTTTGGCAGCCTTTGAGATACGTCTGTATGCAATACTGCCCGCGATATGAGCGCCAGAAGATTAGAGGTGTTACAAGAGAGTAACAAACATAAAAAAGAAGAAGGGTTGAATAGGACGGTAGATGTTTCAGAGGAAAGAAGAAGCAAACCACACCAGAGCACCCGCCAACCACCCACCAAAATAGGATAAAGTGACATACTAATACTAATAAAAGATATAAGGATGGTGCTAGCATCATTGTCAAATACAGTCGAACCTATATACTGTATCTCCCCTCAGGCATCAGTATCATTTATCAAACATATAAAAGAACCTTAGTTTTAGTAAGAGATTTACTGCACTATCAACCCAATAAGGTCATATTTATAGTGCCGAAGACTAGAGGTGCTACAAGAGAGTAACAAACACAAAAAAGAAGTAGGAGAGATCAGGACAATAGATGTTTCATAGGAAAGAAGGAGAAAACCTCACCAGAGCACAAAAGAACCTTAAAAATCTTCTAAAAATTCACTGTTTCTTTCTCTCAATGCCTGGGTTCGTTAGCAGAGACCACCTAATTTTTGAAAAAAATGACAACTCACCAGGTGGTGGTCGAGGCCGTGACTTTTTATGCACTTGACTGACGATCCTGTCGAACGGATTCATCGAATTCTGAGGGGCGGGTGGTTCTTCCGGCTCGCTGTCACTGCCCGGCCCACACACTAGAACATTCTCGTTCATTTGAGGGACGCTGTTGGCTTTTCCCCTGTTGAGCCCGTGGTTGCTGCCGCTGGGAGGTCGCTGGGGTTCGCCTCTGTGCTGTTTGTGAAATGATGGTCTAGTAGCGCCCATAGAGGACGCTGGTTTGCCGCTTGGCATTGACTTCAACTTGTCTCGTGAAGAAGAACTGCTGGAGGACGGTGGAACTCGCGTCTGGGACGTGGAAGGAGGAGAAGCTTCATCATCTGACATGTCTTTCTGACATGGCGCTTTCCCGCCATTCTTCAACCACTCCTGATACTCCCTGGACTTAATTCTCTCCTTCCTGTCCTTCTCTTCCTGGGTCATTGGCCTTTTCTCCTCCTCTTTTTTCTTCTTCTTTGGGATCGCTGACATCGGCTTCATTGGTTCATTCTGTTTTTGTTCAGCCATGGCAAGGAGTGCCTTAAAGTCCATGGGTGGCGGGGCAGCGTTACCAGAATGTTTGACAATAGTCTTCTTTTGCTTTCCAAACTTTGGTTTCGATTCCCGGTCAGATAACGGCGACAGGCTATGCTCTCTTCTTTTCACATGGTTCCCGGGCCTTCTATGCTTACTACTACTACCACTCTTGTGAATTGATTTTCTTTTTCGGCTGGGTCTCTCCTCAGCGTCTCCAGAATCTTTTTTAGTAGCTCTTTCCCAGGCTTGCTTGGCCATCCGAGCAATCTTCTCCTTCTCTATTTTAACTTTATTCTCATTCAGCATGATGTCCAAGGCATTGTCCACAGTTTCGTCTTCATCAGACGAGACCACGTCACGCACAATTTCAGCAGACTTTGCTTTCTCATCAAGTTTGTCGGAGCCGTCTTTAGATTTTCTCCCCAAACCTTTTTCCCGTTTACCCCGTTTGCCCTTTGAGTCGTTCTCCTTGTGAATGGCGGCGAGAGTACGCTCTTTGATGGCCTGCAGGCGAGCCAGGATCTTCTCCCGCTCGGACAGTTGTGCCGGGGCTGACTGGGCCGCCTGGCGTTCTATCAGCGGATTGAGGTGGTGCTTGGAGAGGACAACCGGCTGAGCGTGGGACTGTTTAGGTTGCTGAGATTCGCTGGGAGACGTAGAGCTCTTACCATTGACTGCATCCGTTTTTGGTTCTGACGAAGATGACTGAGATTTAGATGAGGAAGATGAGAGGTGAGGTTTGGAAGAACGAGAGGATGAACTGGACTGGTGTTTATCCTTCCGCGAGGAGTTGTTAGAACTGCTGGAGCTGCGTTCCCGATTAGACACGGGTGAACCAGCCTTGTCCGAGGAGGAATGTTTTAATTTGTGGTTCCCGGAGGAACTGTGAGAGGAGCTTGATTTGTTAGCAGATGAAGATGAAGACGACGACTTATGACGATCAGACGACGATGATTTGTGCTTTGATGATGAAGATGATGATGATGATGACTTATGATTTGATGACGATGACTTATGATCTGATGACGACGACTTATGATGATCTGATGACGATGACTTATGGCGATCTGATGTTGACGATGATTTCTGACTTGATGATGACGATCTATGGTGTCCTGATTTGCCGTCACTCGACGACTTTCTCTTGTCCTCATCAGATCGACTGCTGTCAGATTTGTCTTTGTGACTTTTAGAAGAATGAAGCCCGTTGGTGAGACCATCATTCCCACACGTTTCCTGAGAGTTTATTTTGTCCTTGCGGTCTTCATCAGAAGCGCTTTTGTCTGAGTCTGCTTCGTTGTCATCATCAAACAGAGAGTTGATCAACTTCTCCGTGTCAGTGGGAGCAGGCTCGGCTTTTTTCTTTGGAATTTTGAAGTGGTTCCTTTTCTTCTCTTCCTTTTCCTCCTGCTCTCTCTTTTTTCGGATCGCCTCCTCTGAGGACAGACAGAACACACAAAAAAGGTCACAAAGTCTTCTTACACAAGTAAACAGATCTGTCTGCTAGATCTCAGCAGTAGTCCTTTTTGCTTTACTATGTGTTTTATGGCACTTGCAACACAATAAGGTCATATAAGTGCCGAAGATTAGAGGTGTTACAAGAGAGTAACAAACACAAAAAAGAAGGATGGGAGATAAAGACAATAGATGTTTGATAGGAAAGAAGAAGCAAACCACACCAGAGCACCCCCCAACCACCCACTCAGTAGTAGTCCACTGTTGGTTCTTCAACGTGTAGTGCACTGATTTTTTACATATATATAATATGTGAACATTTTCCCAACATGGTAAGGCTTCTCTCCTTTAAGTTAACTGCAGCCACACTCCGATTTCATGGGTACTTTACAAATTTCTTACAATGAGAAGAGTATTTTCAGTTACACTGGGAATTACATTTGAATTCTGCACAGGTGGTAGACGAAGTCTACTCTTATAAATTTCAGGACCACCAAGGGATCTTTAACATACACAACTTGCACAAGATTTTTCAGATTCATCCTTATTCGGGAGGGCAAGGTGTTCAATCTTACCTACTTCGAACGAGAGGAGCAGACAGGGGGCTACGTTTGGGGTAGGGGGAGGGGAAGAGAGTGGAAAGGACAACAGATGACAAAACAGGGAATCAGGACATGAGGACACAGGAAGAAATTTTTTTCGCCGCTGCTAGGTTTCGATCCAGGGATCTTTTGACTGAGGCGAACACCGAACCTCTTAGGTCACAAGAACCCCCAAGGACAACCCTTTTCCATTCTATCCATGTCTCTCTCTCAGTCATGATTGGATTATCAACTCACTGCCTGCCCACCCTATTTCTCATTGCTATCTCCTGTGTACCCGCAAAATTGACAAAAATCAATGTAACTCATTAAAACAGAGTAAAAAATACCTGCCCTAATTAAGGATTTTAAAAAGATTTTTGAATAGAAACCAAAAAAGGGGCTGCATAACAACATTGAACGTAGTGAAAGTGACATGGGTAGGCAGTGAGTGAAAATATCTACACCAGAAACAGGTCCATATTTTAAGGTCTTCTAATCAAGAAAGAAAGCGACCGGTCAAACCCCCTTATTCATAAAAACTGAAAAGTTCGACGGCATGATTTTTGTGCAATTCATAGAGACGAGATTAGAAATACTTGAAAAATAAAATATTACTTCCAATAGTTTTTAAATTTTTAAAAGAGTGATCATATGAACAGTTTCGCAACAAAACACGACAAACACCACTTTCGAAGCTTGGCAGAAACTAGTACCATAGGATCTGGAAAGGTGAGGCGCACTCCAAAATTAACTGATTTTTCACAAAACATGTAATTTTTCCTCATTAAAAAAATTGCAGAAAGTTACCCCTTTTATTTTTTTTTTACAAAATAGGACAAAGAGGTTGATCTTAATAGACAAACTGCAACATAATTTTATCCTCTGCGAGCCAATCAAGCTTTTTTCTCGCGTGGTCGACAAAAGTTTGTCGGCGGTTCTTTTCCTTCCATAAAGTATCAATGTGGATATGTCATGCTTGTCAAAGGTGATCTCATTGATGTAAAGGATAAAAATCCAACATAAATTTCAACAATTACTGAATATCAACTAAACTTTGTCTTACATCATGTTTAATATAAAACCAAAGTTGCTCAAGATTATTCAATAAATCAACAGAAATCTTCAATTTTCTCAAAAAATAAACACTAAGTTATACTGGTTATATTACACATTATAAAGTACTCCCTTTCTTTCAACCCACCTTTCTTTCGTTTTTCCATTTCTTTTTCCTTTATAAGTTTCTGGACTGCCTCAGACTTGGCCTTGGGCTTTTCTTCCTTCCTCGGAGCCGGCAAATCCAGACTATACCTGCTCACTTTCTGGAATAAGAAAATTAAGCACATATATATTCATTAAGCCCTTCAATACTGCAGTTAAATAGGCCCCTGTGCCGGGGTAAATCCCATGAACCAAGGCCGCTCAGGGGTGACCCCACTCTACACATCCCATAACTTTTTTATATTTATGAATATTTACTCATGAATTTCTGCATGTACATTCTACATTGAACCACATTACTATTGATATAATTTTGGGGTTAGGCATAGTGTGATATAGCTCGATTAAGAACAATCAAATAATTCGAAAACTATTAATTTGTTACGGAATTTAGGTTGATATTCGTCTGAAGCGCATCAATATTTAGTAGAAAATTAACAACTGATAGAAGCTAAGTGTGAAAGACAGGAGGAAAAGTAAAAGAATACTGTCACAACAATTAACTGGCATGCCATGATCAGAAGTTTAAATATTTAAACTAGATGAGAAGAAAACATAAGTAAACTTGATCTCTATTTCTCCGAACCGTTTCCGTTAGAGACCTCGAGATTTTTTGGTCATTTGTGAGATTTAGGCGTCATCTTTCATTCTGCCATTTTGCGAAGACTGGGAAGAAACATTTTTTGCATCGAATTAGATGTAGAGATTTTTAAATGCCTGAATATTCATATACTTCAGTTGTGGTTGGGACAACGTTCCCGGACTAGATCTATACTTCATTTGAAAAAGCCTTCAAAAGGTACAGCAAGAAAACAGGACTGCTCGACCTTGGCAGTGACCTATTGCATGTAGTCACCCCTAAAGCAAACACTAAAATCCTTCACGTAAACAAACCCCCCCCCCACGCCTCGTTTACACCGACACACTCACACACGCGCGGACGCAAAATTATCAACAAATCTCGAAAACGGAAACCGATAGGAGAAATAGAGTTCAAGTTTATTTTCCCAAGCGTTCAGAGAAATAGAGCCCGCCTTATTTTATTTGAGGGACACTTGGGGACTCGCTTATAATTTTGGGCCCAGAAATACACACATGATTAAAATAGGCCTGGCCTACATGAAACAAAGATAATGATGATGATGATGTGAAGGAGTAGGCAACTTACATATATGAGTTACATGTTACCAGATCAAAGTCTGATGTGCTGAACACGATTATGAATTGGCCTCTCATTCAACGTTATATTCTGCCTGGGTCTGTGATTTACAGCGACTCGTGGAAAGCCTACCACGGCCTTGCGGAATTGGGCTATACCCATCATATATGATAAACCACTCGGAGAGCTTCGTGGACTTTGAAGACTCCAGTATCCACACACAGAATGTGGAGCCGCTGTGGCGAGATATTAAAGAGTGGGTTAGGAGACTAGGTATCAGGTCTAAATACTTGTACCAGTACCAAGCTCGTGATTTATTTGTGAGCTCTGTCCCCAAGCCAGAGGCGCTCCACTTCTTCCTAAAGCAAGCCGCTCAGCTGTATTCGCTACACTCCAGTCGCGAACGAGATTGCGTCGCTAGCAGTGCCAGTGGAAGTGATAGAGATTCATCGCCGGAAGAGGAACCAGGCCATTAACTGTTAGTTTTTTAAAAATCTGGGGGGTTTCAGGGGGGCAGTCCACCATTATTGTTTTTTCGGTAAATTTTTACTTTCACTCCCGCACACAGATGCACTGTTTCAGGGGTCAAACTGCTATACTGTTTGCTGCAGATCACACATAAAGCCGCTAAAACTGTCGCAAATCAATTATTTTCAAGACAATTTCAAATCTAACTGTAAAATATCAAATTATGGGTAAAATCCCCCTGATTTTCTTTACCCCAGTGGGGCAGGCCCCCCCTGGAACCCCCCGATTGGTCTATTAAAGCATGTCTATCTCGGTTAAAAACAATCAAATATTTAAAAAACTATTATTTTGCGACGGAAATGAAATTGATATTTGTGTTCAGCGCATCAATATTTAGTAGAAAATAGACAACTGGTAGCTGAGTGTGAGACGGGAGAGAAAGTAAAAAAATACAGTTTTTTTGTTACAAACACAATGTTCAATGTTACAACATAATTTTAACCTCGCCAAATATATTACACAATCACAGCCACACACACAGTACACTGATGAACTGTGTCTATTCTACTGTCATTGGGGGAAATTTTGGTGCTTTTTCGGTAGTTCCCACCCCCCTCATTTGAGCCTGACCTACATCTAGATACGTTTGATTCGCGGCAAGCTAAGATATCAAATCTGACAACTGCAAAACATTAAATTGTGGTAAAATTCCCCTGAAACCCCCCACAATATTTTTATTAGGTTAGGGCTGAAACCCCCAACTCTTGGGGCCAAAACCGGCGAATAACAATTGCGGGGTGGGAACTACCGAAAAAGTGCTAATTTTTAAAATCTACATGACCGCATGATTTACAGCCTGCTACACCATTGAACAATCCAGTAAATCATTTACGAACTTCAGATGGCAAAGTTTTGGGGAAGATTGAAAAATACCGGACCACTAGTATGTATATAACATTATTGCGCGAGAAGGAAGTGGCTATCCTCACCCGGGGTGAGAATAAAAATACGATCGACCTCTCACCCCGGGTGAGTCTTGCCACCGTAGGCTATTCTCACCCGGTGTGAAACAAGACCTGTTTTTCCTAATTTCGGAATACTTTCTATCGGTGTGGGTGATCAAATGGATAAAAGCAAAGAAAAAATTACGTAATGGCACAAAAGTTTAAGCTAATTTGATCATCTACAAAGATGCTATGATGGCTATTTCACTTTTCGAATCGAGCCAAACTACGCGGGTCGCCATTTTGTTTTACCCGGAAGTTCTCACAAGATCTACTCCTCCCCTCTTTCTGAATACTGTCTATCGGTGTGGACGATCAAATTGACCAAAACAAAGTTAAAAAACGAAGTGGCTAGCCGTACTTAAGTGCGGCTAGACTGAGAGTCTAGCCGTACTTAAGTACGGCTAGACTGCCAGTCTAGCCGTACTTAGATCTAGGTTTGGCCCTATTGACTCAAGCCTGTTAAGTACACAGGTCTCATTAGATCTAGATCTAGTAATTATTCAGGTTCAAATACATGCAAGTCAGTTTGGCACCTTTTGGTTTTGTCTGAAATACAAATACTTTAGGCATTGCAAACTAAAAATTTCATTTACAATTCAGCCATCAATATTAAGTACGGCTAGCCTGACAGTCTAGCCGTCCTTAAGTACGGCTAGCCTGGCTGTCTATCCGTACTTAAGTTCGGCTAGACTGCCAGTCTAGCCGTACTTATCTTAGGCCCTATTAACATTAGAAAACAGAGGTTTAAAATAAGGGAGTGTATACAGACCCGGTAACCGGGAACAAAGTCACAAAGTATACAGACCCGGTAGGGGAACTCTTTTGTGATTTCGGAAAGTTTCAGCGCCTGTTGGCTCAGGGAAGACCTAGGTTCTTCTAGATCTATGGTCCAGGTCTAGATCTAGATAGACAGACATTATAAATCATTGATCTAGTTTCGACGCTAGCCTAGATCTAGATCTAGATGTAGATTAGATCTAGATCTAAATGAAGATTGCGGATGTCTTTTCGATGAACGATTGTTTTTCCTCCGTTTTGGAGTTGGAGGAATCACAATTTGAAGAAAAGAACAATGTCATAATTTCAATCGAGCAGTCACCCTCTCTATTTCTCTGCCTCTCTCTCTCTCTCTCTCTCTCTGTGTGTGTGTGTGTGTGTGTGTGTGTATCGCTCGCATTCTCTTTTTCTTTGTTTGTCTCCGTCTTTCTTTCTCTCCAGCTATTTCCCACTCTATCTTTCTCTCGTTCCCTCCTACCAACTCGGGGCATGTTATCACATTTTGCTAACACTTCTCTCCCCTCTCTCTCTCTCTCACACACACACACGACCGGGTCTGGGCGCTGAAACTTTCCGAAATCACAAAAGAGTTCCCCTACCGGGTCTGTATACTTCGTGACTTGGTTCCCGGTTACCGGGTCTGTATACACTTCGTTAAAATAAATGCACTGTCATTAAGACACCTGGTTTCGTCTCAAATACACAAATACCTTAGGTACTGCACACTAAAAATGTATATTTTTACAATTCAGTAGGCCTATTTTTTGTAAATGGTCAGTCTAGTCATCATATTAAGACTAAGAATAAAAGTACGGCTAGACTCGCAGTCTAGCCGTACTTAAGTACGGCTAGCCTCTTCCGTTAAAAAATGATGGTAAAACACAAAAGTAAGTTAATTTGGTCGTCTACAAAGATGCTACGGCTATTTAACTTTATGAATCGAGCCGAACTACGCGGGTCGCCATTTTGTTTTGCCCGGAAGTTCTCGCGCTAGATCTACTACTCCTCTCTCTCTCTCCACTGCCCAGACAAAATTGTACGCTTTTAGTAGGCTAACAGTAGTAATGGAACGTTTGTTCGCGGCACAAAATTCTACAATTTTTCTGTTATCACAGTGTAGAATTCTGTGGTTAAGGGTGAACGCAAAATTGGTTGGCCTAGATCTAGATCTAGAATCTAGGCTGTGTAACGGTGAACGCGCACCGGGTGAGAATTAGCCAAAAGACTCGCCTGCACTATGTCTATTCTCAGAGGTGGCCTTCAATCTTTTAAACTTACCAAGTCTTGGCCTACCCTACGACATGACATAATGGCTATCAACCTCAACTTCACTTCAACTGATATTAGATAGGCTTAGACTTAATAGGCTAAGGCTCAGGTTAGGTTAGGCACACACACTATTCTCTTGAAAAATTATTATTGTACTCACATGTTTGTCCAAATTTTCCTGCTTTGAAGCAGCCATATTCATCAAACTGTGAAAGTCCATGGTAGAAGAGCAGCTCAAGGCTGTCGAAAAGCCCCGTGGGCTTAAATTCGACTTTCTTCTTCAAGTGAAAATGTGAAGCTAGAACTGACGACGAAGTACAGTCTCGGGCAACGTTGAGAGAATGTGTAACACCCAGCTTTGCTGGGTAAGTACTTTTACGATAAACAACAGGGAGACCAGCTTCCGGTTATAGATCTTTGCCAATCAGGCAAGACATAAAGGGAGTACTCCTTGTTAAAATTGCTTTACATTAAAATTTTTAGGCCTGATTTGGCCAGGGCATTTTTTATGTCATGTCATGTCATTATCATCGTGTTGAAAACATGTTATCTATCTTACGCTTTCATTTGATTCGTTTGATTAATCTAGATTTGCAAACTATCTTACCCACAAAATTGTAGTTTTTGCCATCGAAATGCTTCTTTTAGCCATCGAAATGCTTCGCTAAAAAAAGAGAAACCCTTCTCTTTTTTCCCCGTTCGCTCGCCACTGGAACTGAAATTGTGTAGGCATTGGGCCGCGCCTTGGTTATAAGAAGAATTAAAAAGTATCTCTGGTCTAAATCATAGATTTACACTACTACAACTCTATGGGTCAAAATAGAACTAGCTATCTATATGTGGGAAAAGATCAATTTCTTACCTAAGCAAAACGAAAATCGAAAAGCCAAAAGGATAAATAACTGTCATTATCTTATCTGTTAAATTAAAAAATCTAAACGCTTTTTCCCTGAACTAAAGTACCTGTTTTGAACGCATGCATGATATTCATTAATTTTTTAAATAAATAAAAAAGTTCTAGAAAGATTGAAGATGTATTTCTCAGTTCTGTCTTTCATTTGGTAATTGTATTTAAAACCTCTCATCTTTAAAAAAATAGTTACAGATATGAGACAACTTATTATCACCTGATATCATTCTGCAGAACCGATGGATTCAGAATGCTCTTATTTCCGCAACAAGTCAATTGTCACCCATTTGATAAATTTAATTTAATGCCTGGTCGACATTTTATTTATTTATATACTTGTTTTGTTGTGTTTTATTTATTTACCTATTGATTTATTGTCACCATGCAACCGTCCAAGCCCACTGAATCCCATATACCGCATTTATATTGTTATAGTTCTTAAACTTTATCCACTTATCGTTCTTTGTAGTCATGGAAAGTAGGCCTAGGTGTAAAAGAAGGGTATATATTTAAGTGCATGTATGTATGTCAGTAGATTACTCTGCAGCATCGTGTGAACAAAGCCACAAAATTCACAGTGTGGCTGTTTAATTGTTTAATTGTTTATTTTGTTATTCCCCCTCACTGTACCCTCCCTAAAACGACCAAGCAAAAACAATTAAAGCGCCTTGGCAAAAAGAAAGGGGAAAGAATAACAACAACAAAAACAACAACAACAAAAACAACAACAACAAACATCCTCATCGCAAAATCTACAGCACAAGCGAAGCGAAATTTATCCACCCGCCCTCGCCCCCCCT